AGAGCATGACGGGGGGGCCCAACCCCAGGACCCCGGTATCATGCATGACCGGAGCCAAAGGCAGAACATCAACCAACTGTACCACCCAGGTGCCCCAAGTATTAGATACACTGGACAAGGCTGATAGAGATATATTTTATGATGCTAATGTAGTGTCTTTAACATATTGATATTTTTAGTGAAGAAGAGAGATGGAATTTCATGTTAGGCATCTCCAAGAGGTTCCCAGTGACCGCCACCACCTGATATTTACACCCTTGCATAGAACTTCCTACGCTGAGGGCGCCTGGGTTGGATCAGTTGGTTAAGCATCTGCCTTCGGCTCAAGTCATGACCTTGGAGTCCTGGGGTCAGGATAGAAGCGAGGATCCTGCTTCTCCTTCTGCCTGCCAATCTGCTTGCTTGTGTTCTCTCTCTCTCTGACAAGTAAATAAATAAAAATCTTAAAAAAAAAAACAAACTACACTGAATAGCAACTTCCAAGGCTAATGTCATAAAAGACATTGTAGTCTCTTCCTTGTTATCACTGATTGACTCACTACGGGGAAAACTAAGCTGCCATGACAGGAGGAAATACTTAAGAAGTCCTATGGTAAGAACGTGAGGCTTCTAGCAAACAGCCATCAAGGAAAAGCTTCCTGCAAATGACCCGTCCATCTCCACTCCATACTCCGCAGTCAAATTTTTCAGATGACTGCAAGCTCATGCGAGACCCTCTTCCAGAAGCACTCTATTAAGCTACTCACAGATTCTTGACTTTTTTTTTTTTCCAAGTAGGCTCCATGCCCAATTTGGGCTTGAACACATGACCCTGAGCTTAAGAGTCGCATGCACGGGGGTGCCTGGGTGGCTCAGTTGGGATTCTCAATCTCTCTTGATTTTTGCTCAGGTTGTGAGATTAAGCCTTGATTTGGCTCTGCACTCAGCGGGGAGTCTCCTTGAGGTTCTTTCCCTCTGTGCCCCCCCGCCCCCCCCCCGCTCCCATGCTCTCTCTCGTTCTTTCTCAAATAAATAAATCTTAAAAAAAAAAAAAAAAAGTCGCATACTCTACTGACTGAGCCAGCCAGGTGCCCCAGCTCTCAGATTCTTGACCCACAAAAACTCTATGAGATAATAAATGTTTACTGTTTGAAGCTATTAAATTTGAATACTTGTTAAGCAGCAACAGGTAACTAATAGATTGTCAGCTAATTCCTTAGAATGCTCTTTATAAAACATAAACCAGATAGAGAACATCTCCCTAACTAAAATGCTTCAAGGCTTCATGTTCATGGACTAAAACCTAAACTCTGTGCTATGGTGTATAAATTCATTCATGCTCTTGCTTCTGCCTATACATTTTTACCCTCACCTGGTTCCATTCTCCACCTACTCAAAATCACTGGACGCCTCTGAGATTATTAAAGAATATACTCTCTTCTTTTACCTTTGTATTTGCTGTTTTCTCTGCTTAGGAATGCTCTTCCCTGCATTCTTGAGAGTATTCTTTGCATACTTGGCTCTTTTTTGTCACTCAGTTCTCAGCTTAAATGTTCCCTCCCCAGAGAGGCCTTCCCTGATGACCTGATCATGAGAACGCTCTGGAAAATTCCCAATAAACAGAGGAACAAGATAAGGTTAGGCCATATTTAAAGCCACATAAAACTGGAGTTAGCCTGTTTGACTAATTGCATTAAATGAAAAGAAAGAAATTAATATAAAATTTGGAAAGGAGAATATAAATTTGTCACTATAGATTATACAAGTGTACTTCTGATACACAAGAAAAATAAACTGGAAAAACAAGAAACATGTAAACTCTAGAAACAAAACATTAAAACTGGCTCAGTTGGCGGAGCATGACTCTTGATCTCGGGGTTTGGGGTTCTCTACACGTTGAGTGTAGAGATTCTTAAAAAAAAAAAAAATCAAAATACCTCTGAAGGACAAAAGAAGGCATTAGCTAATAGAAAGGTATACTATCTAGGATATAAAGACTAAACATCAAAGAGAAGTAAATTCCCCAAATTTTCTGTGCAATATGGTTCCAATAATAATACCAATAAGACTTTATTCTTGCAATTAGACGATTATTAACTCATGGAAAGATAAGCAAGGCAAGAAAAGTCAAGAAATTTCTGAAGAATTGAAATAAGGAATTAGTTCTATCAGATACAAAACCCTAAATAATTAGAGTAATTTGATGCTTTACAGGAGACACAACATTAGGATAACAGAACTGAAAATCTACTAACATAAACAAATACAAATCAGTGGAGAAAAGATGGACAATTAAGTAAGTGGTGTTGGATGGCAGGGTAGTCATCTGAAAAAAATATAAGTTGTTACCAATATTCTACACACACAAAATGAATAAAATAGTTAAATGCAGAAAAATGAAATTAAAATACAACAAAAAGAAAATGGAAGATTCATAAGCTAGAAGTGCTAGATTTTTCTAATTAAGACACAATATACTAAAATCATTAAAGAGCAGATGAAAAATATTTTTCATCTATAAAATATTTCCCCAACTTTAAAAAAATATTTTAAATATAAAACTTCATTTAAAAAATCTGAATGTTAAAAACAATGACAAACTGTGGAAATCCAACTGTAACTTTTATCACAAATGTCAATTTTCTAAAAAGGCTCCCATAAAATCAATGGAAGTCTATTAACCCATAGAAAAATGGGCAATCTGTACATTATTTCCTACTTTAAAATGCTTTGGAATCAACCGTATTACTTTTGCAAAAGAGTAAACAAAACAAAAAATAAACATCACTCTGGCTATTGTTTAGAGATATCTTCACCCAAGCTATTATACATAGAGGCTAACTGGTATGAGTGTTTTGTGGGGACTTATTAAAGGATGTACTTTCATAGCTGAGTTAACACAGTGTGGAAAGCACTGCATGATAGGACAAGAGACTGATCCATAAAATGAGGAAACAAGAGTTCAAAACTAGTTGCGGAGCATTTTAAGGAAATTTTATTTAGCTCTTGAGAGGCAAGGTGACCCCAGCAAACGTATGTGTTCCTGGAGGGTAAAGTAAACCGTAGCCAGCAAGCCTAGTTTCAAACTGGCTGACAGAACTCTGGGCCAGTTTCTTTCTTTCCATCTACAAAATGAAATGACTGGTAGATCTTAATTCATGTTTGTATCCCCAATATCTGGCCTAGGGCCTGGCAATCAATAGAAAGTACTCAACTAGCACAAGTTTCTTCACTTATTTTTCTTGTTCTAAAATGGGTTTTTTTTGCTGTTGTTGTGCTAAAATTCACACACATTGTAACAAATTGAAGGCAGTTTATCTTAGTTGGTAACTGATTCTATTTCATATAATAGAAAACCCGCAAATCACTGGTTTTAAAAAAAGTAAGAAAAAAAATTGTTTCTCTCCCATGTTAAAGAAATTCAGATTTAAGAAGGGCTGAAGTTGGTATGGCAGCTCTACTGGTATCACCAAGAATTCGGGCTCCTATATTCTTCCCACTATCCATCAATTTAGGCTTCCAGATGGCTGTTGGAGCTCCAGCCATCAAATCTATGTTCTATAAATGTTGAGTGAAAGGAGACAGATACAAAAGAGCATATACTATATGATTCTAGTTATATGAAGTTCATTAAAAAACAAAAACAAATGTTATGGAAATAAATGTCAAAATAGTAGTAATCATTATATGGAATCATTGGCTGGGAAGGGCCATGAGGGAGCCTTCTAGGTGCCTAAAATGATTATATCATTATCCAGATAGTGTTATACACATGAAGAATAACCTTGATAGATACATTTAGGATTTGTGCACTTGACTATATGTAAGATACCTAAACAAGGTAAATTCCAGATCTCTGAGCTTATGTGTATTTTGACAAGACTAGACTTTAATCTATCTCCAAACAGACTAAAGAAATGAGGCATTCTAAAGTATTTAGTGTTCAGTGTGCAGCTCTTGTGCTTGTAACTGCTCTCCCCTCCTAAAGTTGGAAAAGTAACTAGGACAAATAGTCTACTACTAGAGTAGCTACGGGTGTGGCAATTGTCTTGCTTTAGGAATACCCGAGTTTAAATCCTACCTCTGGAAAAAAAAAGAAAATCCTACCTCTGTTTTGCATTTGTTTTTCTCCAGAAGAGGTATGAAAATAGTGAACTTTACCTTATTCAAAATCATAATGGAGTCTTTGTGTGAGGATTTATGAGGCAATGTATATCAAGTTCTTAACATAGTGCCTGATATGTAATAAAAGATAGTTGCTATTATTTTATTACCATTGTTACCATCATCATCATTAAAAACTTTTTTTTTACATCATCATCATTACTAACAAATGATGGAACAGGGATCTCAAATGATTCTATGGTCAAAAATTCCAAATCAACTGGTTAATACCCTTGTGTGGATATGAATATCCTATTGAATATATACATTTGGCTATGAACTTGGTTTTCACTTGAGAACTTTCTAAAGAAGCCAAATGCAGTTCTTCTTATGGTTCTGCATGTTTAGAAAACTCCAAGTAGGAAAAAAAAAAAAAAGAAAGAAAGAAAGAAAAGAAAACTCCAAGTAGTCATGGGAACAGTTTTGGGAGTATGTCATAAAAAATTTAGTTTTGCTTTCAGAATCGTATGACCCTCATTAAGGTGGTCCTATGGATAATGACTTGGGAAATAATCACAAAATACAGAGACAGAGAAAAGTTATAAAACAGTATGAACAGTTCAGTACCATTTATTTATGCTATCCTGTTATAACTGCATTAAAAGATCTTGAAAAGTACACAAAAAACTGGTAAAAGTGGTGACCTTGGGGAGATGAAGGTCACGTGGTAATAATTGTGAACTTTTGTTCATTTAACATAAAAAGCCCAGGCTAAGATAGATCATTTCCTTATTATTTCCCAGGGAATAATGAGAGTGAATACTTTTCTAATCCACATTTTCAGGGAAAATAACTTGATTAATTTTATATGTGGCATAAATTCATTTTTGAAAAAAGCATAAGTACAAAATACTTACCCACTTAGCAATTGGACAACCATGAGAGCTTTTTCCTTCTTTTCCCGTATACACTACAATTTCTATCCTTACTGCATTTCCTTTTTGACCATACCTGAGTACAAAACACAGTGGAGGGAAAATAATTGCAATTAATGGTGATATACCCTTTTAACATCTTAAGGTACAGAAGGTATAGATTTATAGAAGAAACCCAACACCCTGATTGTTAAAATTTACATTTGTTAAAAATTTACTTTTGTGTGGCAGGTATTTTTATTTGTTATCCCATTCTGTTTACTTATCCTTAAAGATCACTCATTTAAAAAATGTACTGGCTCCAAGACAAGCTTAAGGGATGTGAATGCAGTGTTGTTGGAGGTATTTGAACTATTTCTACCATTATACAATGATATCAAAATAAGTATTTCTGGATTTAACAAAGACAGCCTTGCTTTGTGAGTGTATTGTTGAGTGCCCAAAGGCTCACGCGATGAGCTACTTAGCAGGGACACCAGGACACTATTCTTTTCCTGGGCCCTAAGAAACATCCGAATTATACTCCTGAAGGCTTTCCATTCACTTTTCATTTGTTCCCAGAGATAGTCTCTCTGCATTGAGTCAGGTGCACAATAATGAATGATTTTAACAGGGAAGGATATTTCCTCACCTATTCTCCATGATTTCCCTGACAGCAGCAACACTTGGTCCTGCCCCAAGGTGTGTATAATATGGGCCTTTGTCTTTTTGTATAACTCGATCTGTGGAAGGAATAAGATTATTAGACCCAAAGCTTTACAGAATTGCATAGGGGCAAGGAGGAGCTATTTTTATTAATTCTTTTTTTCTTTTTCAATTCAGAACAATTTATCCTGACAAGGTTTTGGTAAACTTCAATAATTAAAGTCTAGGACAATAGGCCCTAGAATTTAACTTGTTCCTTTCTTGCGCCTCCTAACTCATTCTTCCTCTAAGCATCAGAGGAGGAAAACAAAAAATTTTAAGATGTGGGTCATATTTATTCTCCTATCTCCTGCTTTAAAAGAAATCTTTTAATAATTGAGGTGCAAAATTAAAAGTTTTCTAAGAGCAATACATCTTTAAAAGCTTGGCCTCAGAATCCTATTAAAACTGAGCCCAGGGCACCTGGGTGGCTCAGTTGGTTAAGCGACTGCCTTCGGCTCAGGTCATGATCCTGGAGTCCCGGGATCGAGTTCCGCATCAGGCTCATTGCTCAGCAGGGAGTCTGCTTCTCCCTCTGACCCTCCCCCCTCTCATGTGCTCTCTCTCTCTCTCATTCTCGCTCTCTCAAATAAATAAGTAAATAAAATCTTTAAAAAAAAAATTGAGCCCAGCAATTGCACTGCTAAGAGTTCATCTACTATATGCTCACATAATTATATTTGTAATGCAAATGTACACATACTTGTCACAATTATTTGTAATATCAAAAAAGAGAGAAACACACTTAGCATCTGTCACTAAATGATAAGGTGGATAAATTAAGGGATGTTTATATAGAGGAAAACAATAAAACTATTAAACTAATATTTATAAACACTGGGCGCCTGGATGGCTCAGTGGGTTAAGGGTCTGCCTTCAGTTCAGGTCACCATCTCGGATCCTGAAATAGAGCCCAGGTCAGGTTCCCTGCTCCATTTCCTGGCTCTACCTTTGCCCCCACCCCATGCTTGTACTCTCTCAAATAAATAAATAAAATAACTTAAAAAAGAACCTAATATTTACAAACATGGAAAAACCTGAGATCTCATTAAATTTTTAACAAAGCAAATTGCAAAAATAGTGTATTTTAAAAACTTAAATTTTCTAAAACTGCAAGCAAAATGAAAATAATAACATTAATTCATATAAAAAACTCTAAAGAGGTTTTATCTTTAGAGAATGGTACTGCAAGAAGACATTTGCATCATATTTCACTACTATTTGAAATTTTATTTTTTAAATTTATCATTATTATCATTTAAAAATTAAAAAATATCTACACCCAATGTGGAGCTTGAAATTACAATCCTGAGATCAAGAGTCACATGCTCTACCAACTGAGCCAGCCAGGAGCCCCTGTACTATTTGAAATTTTATGTCTGTGAATTACTATTTCTCAAAAACAGTATTCTTAACTTGGCCTCTTAGCATCATGTCTAACTAGAATAGCTGAGTAATGTATTTCTGGCCATGGTGCACCTTACCAAAAGGTCATTATTTAATCATTTTGATTGGATATCAGATAAAATATAGGATTACTCTTGTGGCTTCCTAAGATACATTGAACAAATTTTAACTTATTACTGATGATCTAGAGCAGTGGTTCTTAACCAGGGGCAATCTTTCCTGAGTGGACATTTGGCGAACATTTTTGGTTGTTACAACTGGGCAGGTGTGTGTGCGTGTGTGTGTGCATATGTGTGTGTGTGTGTATTACTAGAATCTGGTGGATAGAGACCATGGATGCCCCTTAACAGGCTAGGATGCAGAGGGCAGTTCCCCTACCTCAAAGAATTATCCTATCTAAAATGCCAATAGTGCTCAAATTGAGGAAACATGATCCAGAGGTTAATCACTCTTAGTTTGCTATAACACAATACTTCCATGGAAAACTTTTTTTAAAATTAAAGATTGTATTTATTTTATTTTAGAGAGAGAGAGAGTGAGTGTGCAGGGGGAGGGGCAGAGGGAGAGAATCTCAAGTGGACTTCAGATCAAGACCTGAGCTGGACACTTAACCGACTGAGCCACCCAGGTGCCCCTCCATGGAAATCTTTTACTCTTAGATATGATTGTTCCACAGATGATTTCTGAGTGGGTCTGCTTTTTTGTTGTTGTTGTTTTAAAGTAGGCTCCATTCCCAGTGTGGAGCCCAACATGGGGCTTGAACTCATGACTGCAATTCAAGACCTAAGCTGAAATAGTCGGATGCTTAACTGACTGAGCCACCCAGGCACCCCTGCTTTTTTGTTTTTAAGTTCCCATTTCTACACAATGAGCACAATAACCTCACATGTAATGATTATAGAAAAACATGTGACAATGTATAAAACAATCACAGGTCCACTGCAGATGCTCAATAAACTTTAAATGCCTAGGTGTCTCAACTCCTACAGGGTGACGAGTTACAATGTAATGTATAAATAAAGTCTTGAAACTAGACAATCATTCTACTGACGTTATGCATACAGTAAAATTAGACTAGCTCAGCTACATACATTTTAATGGCATTTTAAATTTGAGATATCTTTTCCATTTGTAATGATATTCAGAAAAATACTGCCCCTTTCTTAATTCAGATTTTCAAAACAAGAAGAAGGAGGCTATAAACATAGGCTCTGAAGTTGAGACTGCTGTCTTTTAATTCCAAGTTAATCATTTACTAGTTGTGCCCCCTCCTATGACTTAGTTTCCTCACTTGTAAAATGGAGATAACTCATCCTCCCTTTGTAGGCATGTTATGAATATAACAAGTCAAGGTAGTGGTACAGTATCAGACTTGCAGTAAAAGATCTGGAACAGAAGGCATCATTACTATACTCTTCTGTCCCTGCTCCAAGAACCTTTCATTCTCCCAATTCAACCCCACTCAGCATTGTCACCCTTTTCAGATTATGAGATCCTTCTAAAAAGAGCCTATCCCTGGGGCCTAGCACGTGGTAGGCTGTCAAAACTGCATTGAATGATGAGTGGAGAAATGGAAGGCTTGACTTCAGAGTATCAATGTACTTTAGATAATCAAGAGCAAAAAGTCATTGCTATACTTCACTATTTTTTCTACTGTGGTTTAAAAAAAAAAAATCAAAATGATATAGTTTATCCTTCCAAACAATCATTTACCCATTCTGGAATGTACTAATGAACACCTACTTCAGGCAAAAAAAACTTCCTTTGTTCAGGGTAAATCTTAAATCTGTGATTTGAGGCTATATTTTAAGATTTTTTTTTAATAAGACTTTTAATAATTAAACTATTTGGGTTCAAAATAGGTTATTTCACAAATTCTGTCCTCATAAGTTGTATAAAAGCTGAAATAATGAGGGCATCAAGCAGCCTATGAAACTTTAATGACACAATCTATTTAATCTCTCTATTACAGCTACATTTGAGTAAATTAATTCTTCTTTTATTTGATCACTTACATGAAATTTGACCATAGACAGTGAATAATCACTACAGGGTTCAAATTCAGCTTTCACGTATTTCAAATACTAAGCGACTTTCTCATAAGGCCTGCCTAAGAATCGTTAGTCCAGGAAGAATTTCTCAGGGCTTTTAATACATCGATAAAAATTCTAATTATTAGTTCCTGGATGTTCTCTTTCAATGACTGCTAGGGCACAAAATATATATCAGTTATAAATTGCTCCATAAATCAGCTATTTGCACATACCTATTTGTTTTTTTATAGGCAATCAATATTATACAACAATTTCATATTTTAAAATTTCAAGAGGTTTACAAATTCTTCAATGGCCAAGACTGGATTTTCATTTATAGGGACATTTTTTGTATTGCAGAGCAGAAAAGCACCAGGCATTGAAAAAGAAACAAACCCGTTGTGGTTCTTGAATGGGGTGGCAATTACAGATACTTTTTATAGTTATTTGTTAAGCTGCACGTATGTTTTACATTCTGTGTATGTATATCTCACAATACAACATATTTCTTAAACAAAATACTTATACGTTGAAATACTTTTAAATATAGGAAGAATAAACCCTAATAGAGTATTAAAGGAATTCATTCTTATGATACACACAATAAATAACTTAGGAGACATTTAGCCAAGAGAAATCAACAAATTTTCCACTTGAGAAAGTTTCCAAATTATGAATTAAAAATTTCCCAATTATTTGAGCAAAATCAATAGAGGTCCAACAGAAAAATAGGTATAGAATTCAGTCCATTTTCGCCAGTATACGAATGGGGCAAAAATGCCACATATAAAAGATAACCCAAAATTTGATATGGTCATGACAAGGCAATTAATGGAGGTAAACAAAGAAGAAACACACACTCACACACGCATGCACTCAGGCACACGTGTGCACACTTACCAAGACAGTTGCATGTTGGCAATTCAGAATCTTTCGTTGTGGACACCAGGTTTTTTGTAGGATTGGTAAAGAAGTTCATGGCATAATCATTAAAACTTTTCTGTGCACTGTCTACTGGGGAAAATTCTGAAGCTCCAACACTAGATGAACAGATGTCCTCTTCACTCTTGGTAGAAACCACTGTAATTCCACCTGAACATACTACATTGACATTCCTGAGAATTTGTGCTGGGTCTGGTAAGGGGGTTTCATGAGAGATACCAGGCAATGTTGGCAGTTTCTGATGCATGAGTTGGTCTTTAACATTCCGCGGGAACTGTGTTTGGTCATCACCGGCCGTGACATTAGCACACTGGTTAGTTGGAGGGGAGGGCTGGAGTAAAGGATGAGCTTTCTGATTGACATTCACTGTTGGCTGTACCTGAGAATTATCAACTTTTTCTGTAAACGCCTGTCCATTGGATTCTGTTTTTAACTGGCATAATGGGAGAGAATCCAACGGTTCAACCTTCATGTTTCTTTCCTGTGCTAATTCAGGATAATAACGCTCAAATTTTATCTGAGTGAGTGGAGGAAATAATTTTTTGTGTTCTAATGCTGAACTCGTTTGAGTCAGTGGTTTCCATACTTTGGTTAGGGGAGGAATTTTTCCCAAAAGAATGGGAAAGTCGTGTGGACCAAACTGACCAAATCTTTGAAACTTAGATGCTATCCAAATGTCATGTAACTTACTATACTCATATGACAACTGTTCCTGCTTTTTCCGGTCATTTTCTTGACAACTTATGACTATAGGCTTCTTTTTCCGCCGATCTCTTGATGGGGTAGCTCTTGTCTTTTTCTGTGTTGTGTTCTTTTGCTTTGTCAGTGATGAGCTATGATTATTTTGTACACTGGAAGGTGGTTTCTGTTGTACTGTGACCTTCTCCTGACTACATTTTTGCTGTACATTATATGCAACAAGGCTTGTTGGTGTACTTTCAACCTTTCTGTCCTCTTGTTTTATGTAATTGAATTTAATTATTGATGCAAGTTGTGTTAACTGTGTTGCAACGTCTTCCTCTATTTTGCTGTGTATTGTACTTAGACATGACGGATCGTCTTTTAAGTCTATCTTTTTACTGTTGGCCAGTGACTGGTTACAGTATCCCAATTTATCACTAGATGGTGGCAAATGGTGCAAATTCTTAGAACTATCAAGAGTAATTCTACCTTGAGCAACATTTTTATTGGTGTCAATTTTAGGTGAATTTGAATTTGGTATGAAAAGAGATACCGAATTTGTGACTTTTGAGTATTCCTGTGACTTTGTAGGTGCCTGGTTAGCAGCTGAGCTGTTGTGTGACTTGGAAATGTTTTGGCCATTGAATACCACTGTGTCACATGAACTCTGCTTTTCCAAAGATGGATAGTGATGAAGGCTTTCTGGCTCCCCTTGTAAGTTTTGGTCTTGGAGGTCTTTTCTTACAGAATAGAGGATAGCTTTACAGCTATTAAGCAAACTTGCTGTTCTGTGTTCTGTTTCTTCATCCTTCTCTGACTTTGATGGTGAGGAATTTTCTGATGGGGCTTCTGACAGTTGGGTCAGAGCTTCTATGGCCACCACTTGTTCCAGTGTTAATCTCCTATCTTTCATTAGGGATAGAAGGCTTGGTTGAACTGGAGATCCACCTTTTGGTTCTTTACTTGGTATATTTTGTAGAGATTTTGGTTCATCACTTTCATTGTGTGTACTAGTATGACTATTTAAGTTGAACGGTGCAGGATCTGGAAAAGACTTGCAGTTAAAGCCAGATTTCTGGAAGACTGAAGCATTATTTCTCCCTTTGAGATGATCACAGCTCGTACTAGCGGCAATGGAACTCATGGCATTATGGTTGGCAGTGTCTTTCAGGAATTTATAGGACTTGTTTTCAAATGCCTTGCCAAATTCTTCAATATTGAATTTTTTAAAAGACACATTTGTTTCGGTTGGTAAATAGCGTACATTTTTAATGCCGTTTCTTACAGTTTGTGCAAACAATTTCTGAGGCTCAATTAAGTCAGTAAGTAGGACTTTTTTCCTGTCATCTTCAGATTTTTTTAATTTTTCAGCTTCTGTCACAATTGCCTTAAATTCGCCTTTGACATGATCGGTTAAATGTGATTTCTTGTGTTGCGTCCACTTCTCCACTTCAATACCTGTCATACTTTCTTCATTTTTAGTTACATTTTCGGGGGGAGGTGGGTTTAATTCCAATCTCTGTTCCCCCCCATAGCTCCTCCTGTATTCCATGGATTCTGACTTGGGGCCATTTACTGGTTTGTTGACAAAATATGCCTACAAAACAAGCACAGAAATATCTCATATTATCTATGCAAATATTGGAATAAGAGCCACAGGAACCTTACGATTTAACATGAATGAAATGTAAAGCCCCTGAAAAAAAATTACTTTTGCTTTTTACTTTTTTTTTAAAGATTTTATTTATTTATTTGACAGAGAGATAGAGAGAGAGCACAAGTAGGCAGAGTGGCAGGCAGAGGGAGAGGGAGAAGCAGACTCCCTGCTGAGCAGGAAGCTGGACGTGGGGCTCGATCCCAGGACCCCAGGATCATGACCTGAGCTGAAGGCAGCCGCTTAACCGACTGAGCCACCCAGGCGCCCCTGCTTTTTACTTTTCAATAAAATACCAAAAGGGGTGTGGAGGGAAAAAGAAAAAAAATAAAGTACAAATATCATTAACTCATACCTGTAAATATTTTGGTATACTTATTTGCTTTTCAAAATAATCTTTTTTTTTTTTTAGAGAGAGCAAGGAAGTGTAAGGGGGTGGGTGGCGGGGTTGTGAGGGGCAGAAGGAGAGACAGAATCTTAAGCAGGCTCCATGCTCAGTGCAGAGCACGATGCAGGTCCAATCTCATGACCCTGAGATCATGACCTGAGCCAAAATCAAGAGTCTGGACACTTAACTGACTAACCCACCCAGGTGCCCCTACAAATAAATCTTTAAAATATTTTTACATTGGTACCATTCGATGGGCAATATCTATTATCTTAATGCAAACTGTGCTGAAATACAAAATACACACAGAGAAGTGAACAAATCCTAAGTATACAGCGAACTGAATTTTCATAAATGAATCCCCCAAGTGCCCAGATTCCAGCCAAGAAACTCCCGTCTAGTCATCATTCCACTGCCAAAGGGTAACCATTATTTTGACATCTATCATAGATTTCTTTTGCTTATTTCCAAACTTTACATAACTGACTTCCTTTCACTCAAAATTATACTTGTGATTCATCCATGTTGCAGTCCATTGATTCTTACTGTTGTATAGTAATTCATTGAATGAAAATATTACAATGTATTTATTGATTGTACTGTAGATGGACATTTGAGTTATTTTTGGTTGTATACCAGTATAAGTATTACTGTAATCTTGTGGTGAACATATAATATATACACATTGGGTGGAGTGGAAGTACTGGGTTATCAAGTGTGTGTGTATGTGTATGTTAACTTCGGCTTTAGTAGACAGGCCAAAGAATTTTTTAAAGTGGTTATTCAATATACACTCCCACCAGTAATTATGATGGCTCTAACTGCTGCACATTCTTATTAGCAGTTAGCATTTTTTGTCTTTTCACTTACGCCATTGTGTTTAGTGGGAATGATATAATCCCTTTAAAAAAAACTTTAGATGAAATGCCTACAAAATAAAATTAATCAATTTACCATTTAAAATTGTAAAATGCAGTGGTTTTTAAGCATATTAAAATGTTATACAATAATCACCTCTATCTAATTCCAGAATATTTTCATCACCCCTAAAAGAAACCTTGTACCCATTAAGCAATCACTCTCTTATTTCCCCTACTAATCCCTATTTTTAAAACCCAACAGCTCATCTAAAATTACAACATAGGAATTGAGACGGTAGGGGCATTTCCAACTGCTGTCAGGAGCAAATGTAAAGATAACCTCCACCTCCTAATCTTTAGTATGGCTCTGGACATTCTATTCAATGCCTCAGGGAGAGAAAAATATAAGATTAGGAGACTTCCTATTGAATGAAGGTGATATACCTGAGTCCATAGAAAAACCAGGAGTACTGACTGAAAAACCAAATCAAAGTACAGAATAGCTATAAAATATATAAGCATTACCCAACTGTATAATTAAACATTAAACAATCTTTTCTTTCACATTAAACAATCTTAGTAGAAATAGGGGTGCCTGGGTGGCTGTCAGATAAGCATCTGCCATCAGTTCAGGTCATGATCTCAGGGTCCTGGGATCGAGTCCCACATCGGGCTCCCTGCTCAACGGGGAGCCTGCTTCTCTCTCTCCCTCTGCTGCTCCCCCTGCTTGTGCTCTCTCTGTCAAATAAATAAACTTTTTAAAAAAAAAAGTTAGTAGAAATAAACTGTATTTAATTTCTTGATCAGGGCACACAGGTTACACAGGTTATGTTTAGTTTGTCAAAATTTATCAAAATATAAAATTATCATACATATATTTTCTATATGTATATTACATTTCTATAGTAACTTTAAAAAATTAATCTAAAAACTAAATTTCTTAACGTACAGGGTAATAAATTAACAGATAAACTTGAAAATATTTAACAATTTATTATTAAAATTATGGCATTTCTTTTTTTTTTAGAGATTTTTATTTATTTATTTATTTGACAGAGAGAGACACAGGGAGAGGGAACACATGCAGGGGGAGTGGGAGAGGGAGAAACAGGCTTCCCTCTGAGCAGGGAGCCCGATGTGGGGCTCGATCCCAGGACCCTGGGATCATGACCCGAGCCGAAGGCAGACGCTTAATGACTGAGCCCCAAAATTATGGCATTTCTAAGCAGTGGAGAAATGTATCAATTTCTTAATAATGACAAGGGGGAAATTTGACCCCCATCTCATAATATGTACTATGAATTACAGATATATTAATAATTTAAATACAAAATACAAAATGTAGAAAGCAGGGAAAATATTCCCAAGCAAGAGTAAAAAATGAGAAGCCATAAAGGAAAAAAGTATTTTCAATACATATGATATGAACGATTTTTTTTTTTACTATTTTATTTATTTGGCAGAGAAAGAGACAGCGAGAGAGGGAACACAAGCAGGGGGAGTGGGAGAGGGAGAAGCAGGCTTCCCACTGATCAGGGAGCCCATTACGGACTTGATCCCAGGGCCTTGGGACTATGACTCGAGCCGAAGGCAGACGCTTAACGACTGAGCCACACAGGTGCTCCTATATGAACAATTTTTTTTTTTTAAAGATTTTATTTATTTATTTGAGAGAGAATGAGAGATAGAGAGCACGAGAGGGAAGAGGGTCAGAGGGAGAAGCAGACTCCCCGCTGAGCAGGGAGCCCAATGTGGGACTCGATCCCGGGACTCCAGGATCATGACCTGAGCCGAAGGCAGTCGCCCAACCAACTGAGCCACCCAGGCGCCCTATATGAACAATTTTTAAAGCAAAGGCACCATAACATAGTTCTTTGCAAACTGCTGATCACACTCTACAAGGTCCAATACCAATTTAGTGCTTTGAAACAAGTGCTTTTTCTTAATGGAATAGTACAGAAAAATACAGGTGCACTACATTTAACAGAAGTAAGTATTACAATATAAATCTTCAAATTTCAAAATTTTTATTTATTTTTATTTATTTAAGAAATCTCTACACCCAGGGGCGCTTGGGTGGCTCAGTTGTTAAGCGTCTGCCTTCGGCTCCAGTTATGATCCCAGGGTCCTCGAATCAAGCCTCACATTAGGCAACCTGCTTGGCCGGAAGCCTGCTTCTCTCTCTTCCACTCCCCTCTGCTTGTGTTCCCTCTCTTGCTGTGTCTCTCTCTCTCTGTCAAATAAATAAATAAAATCTTAAAAAAAAAAAAAAAGAAAGAAAGAAATCTCTACACCCAACCCGAGATCAAGAGTTGGATGCTTTTCTGACCGAGCCAGCAAGGCAACGCTACAATGTAACTCCTTTATGTAATGTGTCTGTGCACTTAATCAGGATGTAAAATGTACTTATTTCTTCATATATATAGTTGTCAAAAAACGTGGGAGAAACATTGCCATTAAGAAAAATAAAAAGTCAAAGGATAGTCTAGGAAAATATTCATACTACATGTAAATAGTTACTATTCTTGATGTAAAAGAGCTTCCACAATCAACAAAAGTAAGTAACTCAATAGAAGAGTGAGAAAAAGACAGGAATATGTACTTTGCATAAGTGGAAATCCACAGGATGAAAAGCTGTTTGACTTTCCTAGAAGACAAGGAAATGAAAATAAATGCAACTTTTTAATCCACCCAAATGCCAAAACTAAAAATGCAGAAATGTAGGTAAGCAAATTATAATGCAATATAACATTTATACTAGAGAAAGTATGAAATAAACAAACTCATATTCATATTGTGAAATAATGTGCAGCCATTACTTATATGTATCAATCTAGTGATTGCATGGCAAGACATCCTAAATAAACAAGCTGCTGAAAGCTGGCAGGTAAAACATTAATAACAGTTACCACTGGGAAATAGAAGTGAGGAAAAGAGAAGCTCTGTTTGTTTTACTTGATGCTTTTAATTTTACAAATATGCCTATCCAAGATACCGGGACTTCAAGGTACACATTCCTCTAATGAGAAGATCCTGAGTACATTTTAAGATTTACGTGCCACAAACATAGGACATTCTCATTAACTAATGAGCTTAATTAAAAACTGACCTTTATCATTCAGTTGTATCTCATATACAGGTTCCTAAATAAACAATGCGAGTCTGGCATTGGGCTCCCTGCTCAGCGGGGAGCCTGCTTCTCCCTCTCCTGCCCAATGCAGGACTCAATCCCAGGACCCAGGATCATGACCTGAGCCGAAGGCAGATGCTTAACCGACTGAGCCACCCAAGAGCCCCTATTACTGTTAATATTAAACACTAAGATGGGGAAAGAGCAATCCTTCGGAGCTGTCTGATCCAGGAGATGCCATGTAGCCTGAACTTTAGAGTCCTCCTTTTTTAAGTTGTCACATAGATTGTGATGGGGATTCAGTGAGACCATGACCAAAGTTGTTAGCACAGTGAGGATGAGGTGTCACACTAAGAGAGAACACTAACAATTTTTTTTAGATAGGGAGGGGGCAGAGGGAACCTTCAGCAGGCTCCACACCCAGCACCAAGCAAGATGTGGGGCTCTATTTCACCACCCTGAGATCATGACCTGAGCTGAAATCAAGAGTCGGATGCTTAAGTAACTGAGCCACCCAGGTTCCCCTATTATCTCATGACTTTTTTTTTTTTTAAAGATTTTATTT